GCTATACTTCAGCACCACTCCCTTCAAGACTTCACTTAATGCATTGAGCCCATAGTTTTTAATTGCTACAATACAGACATTTTTTGTATATTTATTTTCCTTTGTGCAAACAATGTCTATACTAGTGTTTACATAACTATTCTTGTAATAAAAATTGCTACAAAAAAATTAGATCATTGCTGGATCACTGCTAAATTTACTATTTATCACTGTCACGATCAAGTCACATTTAGCTTCTTTTTGTTGAAAAAAATAAATCTTTTTTTTTTGGCTTATACTTGAGGAAAATACCTCACCCCACAAGACTAACTTTTTTTTTTTTAAAAAAAAAGTTGATTTAGTGATCAAAATGAACAATTTAAAAAATTTCATTTCCTCCAACTAACTCTTAGATCATCAGTAATGAACTAAGAAATGTTGAATACACGAATAATATCATGAAAGTGTTATATGAATGAATGCTCACCGCGAGTGGTTTTATTGTGGACCATTTCCGAAAAATTGCCAAAGCAACGTGAGATGTTTCCGGTCAACTGGTTGTTTGCAAGGTCCATTATTTTAAGTTTGGACATCTGACAGAAAGAGGATGGAATGTCTCCGTAGAATTTGTTGTTCCTTAGCCTAAGAATTGCCAGATTAAGCAGATTGTTTCCAATCCATTCTGGAACTTTCCCTGATAACTTGTTGTCTCCAATATCCAAACCCATTAACTGGGTGCAATTTTTCAAATTTGGAGGGAGTTTCCTTATAAAACTGTTGTTACTCAGTTGCAACCATCCCAACAAGTAAGCTCCACTAATGGAGTTTGGAATGGGCCCAGAAAGCTTATTAGATGACAATGTTGCAACCCTTAAGTAAGATAAGTTAGACCAACATTGTGGAAGGTGACCTGACAATAGATTCTTGGAGAGACGCAGATAAAACAAATCTCTCAGTTTGCATAAGGAAGGGGATATCGAACCAGTTATCACGTTATTTGATAGATCTCAAACTTGGATTCTGAAAGGAAGATTTGAAATAGATCCATCAATATGGTTGTTGGATATGTCTAAATCAGTCATATTTTTTATGGAATGGAGCCATTTCGGCTGCATGCCTCTAATGCTACAATTAGATAGATACAAATAGTGTAGTGATTTTTGTGTTTAAAGCCACTGTGGAAATTGGCCTCTGATATCAATGGATGACATATAAAGGGATTTTAGTTGAAAATGAGGGGTTCAATCATCTCCCACTCTGAATGTTAACATGTTAGACCCAGTCCTAAATCCTTTAAGCTTGAATAGCTTCTCAAATTGGGCCTCTATGAGCGTACCTTCAAAGGTATTACCATATATGTCAATCCACTCCAAATCTGAAAGTTATCCCACAATAGTTGGAATTGGACCAGACAACTTGTTATCAGACAAATCTAACCATTTTAACTGCTTCAGTTTGCCAAGTTCTTCAGGCAACTGCCCGTAAAAATTATTACTCCACAACTCTAGGTTCTCCATGTTGTGGCTCCAGCATCTTGATAAATTTATTGGGATTGGACCAATCAACTTGTTATCAGACAAATCTAACTCCTTTAGCTGCTTCAGTTCACCAAGTTCTTTAGGAAACTGCCCGTGAAAATCATTACTCCACTGTAACACCCCGACTTTTTATTATATCGGAGTACGCGTTTTTTCGCAATTTTCTGAACAAATAAATAAATTACTTATTTTGCGAAAACTGATTCGGGATGCTACCGTGAAAAACTTGATTTTTC